ACCTATTTAAATACACAAATCAATAGTCATTAACCTATTCATGTTGTCCACTTACAAAATTATTCACGATTTTTAATGTAAGAAATAAACATTTTTTATCACGCTTTATATTTTTCAAATCTGAAATATTAATTATAAGTACTATCAATCAATCACATCAAGAGATTTAACATGTTTTGGGATATTTTTAATTTTATAAACATAGCAGAGATATTATGCAGTGACATCAATAAATAATTTAATTTTTCATGTTAAAATACTGATATTTTACCATGTGACCTCAATTTTTATATTAAGTTACTCTATGAATAGATACCCAATAGAAACTATCCTATATAATATATTTTGTAATTATGTAGTTATATTTTTAATAATTATCTTGGTCAATTTCTATAAAATATATATTTAATAGTCAGAAAATTATTATTATTATTATTATTATTATTATTATTATTATTATTATTATTATTAGTGGGAGAATTATTATTATTATTATTATTATTATTACTATTATTATTATTATTATTATTATTATTATTATTATTATTATTTGTGCTTAAACTTCACATCACATGTCATAATTTCTTCCTCTTTATTTATTATTTATTTATTATTAATAGTGATAATTAATATTACTGAATCTATAATTTATAGTCTATAAATTGTATTAGAAAGTGGTATATTTAATAATGTAGAGACTGACAATTCAAAAAAAAATATGTTTCCATCACGTTATTTCTTAATTGAATTGGATATACAAATTTATTCTCATATATTATTATTAAAATATGACACATCATTTTTTTTATGATGCTTTAATATGTCATATCATAAATATTAATAGTAGTTCCTACCCAACTCATCCATTTTTTTTTATATACTTTCAGTGATGTAGGATTTGTAACAGTAGTAACAGTACGAGAAAGTACTCTAGTAAAAGAGTTTTAAAAAATTATTGATTTTATGATTAACATATCAATTTCATAACTTGCACAGGTCAATCAAAGATTTCTAAATAGAAAGATGAGTTTTTTTAAAAAAAATAAATATTATTAAATATATTTTATTATGTATTAGATATTTATGAAAAATGTTATAATTTTAACATTTTATTATAGAAATAAGTCAAATATTAATATTTGAAATTTCAATTTTATTTTTAAAAATTGTTAATTATTTAAAATTTTATTATTTAATTATGATATTTATGAGTATTTCACAAAAGATATAATTTTAATAATACTTACAAAATTAGGAGATTGTAAGACAAAACATATATCTACAGACAAAACTGAATTATTGAAACGGAAAAATAAAATCATTTATGTTATAAAAAAGCATGAGACAAATATTTTTATACACGAGAAATATTTAAATATTTTATATTGAACTTTATTTTTACATATGAAAAAAGTGTATGATGATTCAAATACTTTTATAATTAAGAACAAGTTTTTTATTCATCAAAATATTTTTATAAATAATTGCATAAATATTTTTATAAAAAATATTCAACGTTGTCCGCAAGTATTAATTATATCTTATCTTTTTTTAAATATAAATTATATTTTTTATATTTACTAATTTTTATTAATCTTATTTTTTTCTTCTAAATTTTAAATGTAGACAAATGCGCGTCACCGACGAGTACCCGTGCGAAGGCACGGATATCCTGATTATCAAACTCAATTTGAACTTGGTATGTGACATATTGTATAAAAAGTATGTGATTGTTGATAAATATATATTTGATTCTAATTTTAATTTTAAAGGTGTATAATTGATTTTTGAGTTTGATTAATTTTTAAAATGGATTAAAGTAAGTTTTTTAAATAAAAAAATTTAAAATGTATCGTTCATATCCATTGTATAAATATCATTAAATATATTTTATTATATATTAAATATTTATGAAAAATATTGATAAATTTAACATTTTGTTCTAGAAATTAGTCAAATATCAATACTTGAAATTTCAAATTTATTTTTAAAAATCGTTAATTATTCAAAATTTTGTTACTTAATTATGATATTTTATGGGTATCTCTCAAAAGAGATATTTTTAATAATACTTGCCTAAATTAGGAGATTGTAAGAGAAAATATATATTTACGGAAAAAAACTGAATTATTGAACGAAAAAATAAAATCATTGATAATATAGTAAAGTATATGAGACATATATTTTTATACACGAGAAAAATTAAATACTTTAGATTGAATTTTATTTTTATATATGGAAAAAGAGTGTATGGATGATCCAAATACTTTTATTCTTGAGAACAAATTTTTTGTTCATCAAAATATTTTTAAAAATAATGTAAAAACAAAATTACAATTATGGTACAATTAGAAAAAATAAAATTAAATATATTTAAAATAATGTATAAATTCAAACACAGACAAAATATATTTATTATTGTTACTAATATTTATTTATTTGATATTTTTAAAAAACTAATTTATTAAAAAATTATTTTTATAAAAAATATCAACATGTGTCCATGGGTATTAATTCTATTTTTTTTAAATATAAAATATTTTTGTTATATTTACAAATAGGGCTGGCAATGAACCGAACCAACTCGAAAATAGTTCGAAATTCGATTCGACAATTAGATCGTTGAACTAGGTTCATGAACCTAATGAGTTGAGTATGAGCGAAAAATTAAGTTCGTTAACTAAATGAGCTGAACTTGAACTCTACATAGTTCGACTCGTTAGGTTCATGAGTTAACTCGATTACATATGAGAATAATTATACTGTCTTTAAGATTAGGTTTAAATATTTAATCTAAATCTTAGACAAATTTAATCTTCAACTTAGTAGTTTTTGAATTAGACTCTCAAATGTATCTCTTGAAAGTTGTGTAAGTTTTGAATTAGTAGATTTCGAAGATAAAGTTAAATTTCAATATGATAATTTTTATTTTATTTTAATATTTTATTTTTAAAAAAATATATTTATTTAAAATGTCAAATATACTAAAATATATATATATTAAAAAAAATAGTTTTTAAGCCCGTGAATCATGTGAGCTGATCCTAATGAGTTGAACCAAACTGTTCGTGAACTTATAACAAGTCGAGTTTGAACTTAAAAAAAAGTTCGTGTTGAACTCGAACTCGAACTCGAACTCGAAACAATTCATAACGAGTCGAGTTTGAGCTTAAAAAAAGTTCGTGTTGAACTCGAACTCGAACTCGAACTCGAACGAAAAAATTCTTAATGAGTCGAGCCGAGCTGAGGTGAGTTCGACTCGACTCGACTCATTTCCAGCCCTATTTACAAATATGATATTTACTCATTGTTACTTAATTATGATATTCTATGGGTATCTCTCAAAAGAGATATTTTTAATAATACTTACCTAAATTTGGAGATTGTAAGAAAATATATATCTACAGAAAAAAAAAAACTGAATTATTGAACAGAAAAAATAACATCATTAATAATATAGTAAAGTATACGAGACATATATTTTTATACACGAGAAAAATTAAATACTTTAGATTGAATTTTATTTTTATATATGAAAAAGAGTGTATAGATGATCCAAATACTTTTATTCTTGAGAACAAGTTTTTTGTTTATCAAAATATTTTTAAAAATAATGTAAAAACAAAATTACAATTATGGTACAATTAGAAAAAATAAAATTAAATATATTTAAAATAATGTATAAATTCAAACACAGACAAAATATATTTATTAATGTTACTAATATTTATTTATTTGATATTTTTAAAAAACTAATTTATTAAAAAATTATTTTTATAAAAAAATATCAACATGTGTCCGTGGGTATTAATTCTAATTTTTTTAAATATAAAATATTTTTGTTATATTTACAAATATGATATTTACTCATTGTTACTTAATTATGATATTCTATGGGTATCTCTCAAAAGAGATATTTTTAATAATACTTACCTAAATTTGGAGATTGTAAGAAAATATATATCTACAGAAAAGAAAACTGAATTATTCAACAGAAAAAATAAAATCATTAATAATATAATAAAGTATACGAGACATATATTTTTATACACGAGAAAAAATTAAATACTTTAGATTGAATTTTATTTTTATATATGAAAAAAGAGTGTATAGATGATTCAAAATACTTTTATTCTTGAAAACAAGTTTTTTGTTCATCAAAATATTTTTAAAAATAATGTAAAAACAAAATTACAATTATGTTACAATTAAAAAAAAATTAAATATATTTAAAGTAATGTATAAATTCAAACACAGACAAAATGTATTTATTAATGTTACTAATATTTATTTATTTGATATTTTTTAAAAAACTAATTTATTACAAAATTATTTTTATAAAAAATATCAACATGTGTATGCGGGTATTAATTCTATTTGTTTTAAATATAAAATATTTTTTGTTATATTTACTATTTTTTATTTAATTCCTATTTTTTAACAAATTTTTTATATGTAGACAAATGTGCGTCACTGATGGATACCCTATTCTTCATACGGAAGCAGCACTCTAATTTTCATCAGTCACTCACATGCATAGTTGAGTTGCGCAGTATTGTTGTGCCTTAATACTGTGCTTGGGATTCAGATCAAACAGAGATTTTATTGTTTCTGCATCGCAATAGAGATCACACTTAACCACGATATTAAGGCACACGGCCCACAACTTAAAAGCTTGTTCGTAGTAGGTATTCAATCACAACAATATTCAAACTCATACACCACTATAGCCTTCAAAAAATACAAAACTCCCAACCAGTTACTTTCAACAACAGCATGTTTTAGTGGCATTTATCACCTTGATTGTCACATTCAAAACACATAATTATTCAAGACTTGTATATAGCCACAGATCCCTGAAGAGATATACAAGGTTCTTAACTATAGGTTTACTTTTCATAAATTTAAATTGAACGAAATTCTGTCTCTAAGTATGAAAATGAAACCAAAAACCAACCTTTAAACAGCTAAATCATTATTCAATACAAGAACATGAACCTTCAAACCTTCAGGTACTTGATAGCAGTATGAACATCCTTATCACCTCGGCCACTGAAGTTAACCACGACCTTTGTTCCGTTAGGAAGGGTTGGACATACTTTCTCAAGATAAGCCAAGGCATGCGATGTCTCCAGAGCTGGAATGATGCCTTCGAGTCGCGAAACCCTCTTAAAAGCTGCACGTACAATTAAGAAAACAAGATTGAGTCCTCGAAACTCTCTTATAATAGAGCAGCATTAACATCTAACTACAAAGTCACGAGTGTCCTACCTTCCAATGCTTCATCATCAGTGATGCTATGATATTCAGCACGTCCCAAGTCTTTCAAAAAGCTATGTTCAGGCCCGACACCAGGGTAGTCCAACCTACAAAACAGTTTTTGTTATGGAAAACAACACAATCAGAACAACCAGAATTCAAACTTGGGTTCTATCAAGTAAATATAATCTAAATAGACACAAGAAAGGGGATATCAAATTATCAGTCCAAAGAATTACCCTGCACTAATAGAGTGAGGCTCGACTATTTGTCCATCAGCATCCTGTAGCAGATAGCTCATAGCTCCATGCAAAACCCCAATTTCTCCTTTCGTTAACGTAGCAGCATGCTT